CCCCAAAACCCCAAAACCCCAAAACCCCAAAACCCCAAAACCCCTTTCTGACGATTAAGGCTGAGAATAGGTACTTTCACAGAATATATTAGAATTAAATTTAAGTATCCTGGTAGATTTCCGTCAGAAATGATACGGATTCCTGAGAGAATCCGGATGACGTTTTCCTGCCGAGATATTCATACGCAGTAATAGTTTAAGAGACTTTAATAGGAGATTTAGAAAATTCCTGTGATCTCAGAAACGATTTCATTAAGATCCCTTTCTCCCTTATTGGTATAGGCAGTGGTATTCTGGTCAAGACAAATAGATGGAACAGTCTCGGATCCAGTTTGGATCATTTCTAAAATGCTATCAGTGACGTCGGGATAGCTAGCAAAACGACCATTTTTCCTTGGTTGGTTTTTAGATAGTACTCTATTGTACTTTCTTTTAGGTTTGATTTGCTTCGAGGCCTTGAAGTCACGATACTTTTGGAGCTTTGCCCTATATCTGAGAATTTTCTGTTGTCTCTCCTTTTTAGTATAGAAGCCTACTTTTGGCTCCTGTAAGTCATCAGAGTCACTATTACTGTGAGTTGTGTCGTCACAAGTGTCCTCATCCAAAATTTCAGAATCGCAGTTCTGTTTCTCAACATCAGATTTTTGTTCCTCAGTGTTGGACTCAATGATTACTGGAACATGAGAGTTTGTGTACAACTCAGGGTTTAGCAGGGAATCAATAGGCACATAGAAGTTAGTATTAGAGTAGCTTCCTTCCTTAGAAGTCTTTAGTAATCTTCTGATGACTGGATGGGTAGATAGAACTTTCATGTCATATTTGGTCATGGTCTCCGGATTTTGGAGCAATTTACCCAATAGTTTCTGATATACGAAACTAGAGTACTTTGAATCGACTCCCCTGTATTTTGGCTTAGGAGCTTGGAGTTTGCTTCTTCTTGAGCTTTGTTTTGATAGAAAAGCATTGGTTTTCTTTGGTAATGGGACTTTGAAGGGTCCATCAAACATATTTTGTGTGTTTTCAGAGGTAATATATTTCATATTGGTTAAATAAATAATTATTAGAAAAATAACTGGTTGGCTTTTTAGGGGTTTTGGGGTTTTGGGGTTTTGGGGTTTTGGGG